GGGGCCAAGCTTAGAGGTGACTGTGGAATTCTGGGAGTTGAAGTCCATCCATCTTAAAGCATGCCAAGGTTGACCAACACTGGATTGGAGGCCCACCACTAGACAAATGCAGATTCCATTCAATCCACCAAAAAGATTGAATTGGATCTGGAAGCACCACCTCTGGATTTCTCTCCGTTGACTTGCTTTCTTCCGCTAACCCTGAGGTCCACAACCCCAGGTCCACAGGCCGGTCCTTTGGCAATTGGGGCATGCAAGTGGCGGCCGCGTATCTAAATCCATCCCATTTCTAAAACCATCCCATTTCCCCCACCACCACCATCAGCAGAAGCATGGAGGACCTGATCTGAAGATCCTTCCCCCATCCCCACCCCCGTGGCTTTTCCTCCCTTCCCACTGGAGCTCACCTCCGCAGAGGCCTCGAAGAATGGCAGGTTTAACCATTTGAGATAGGAGAAGGACTTCACACAACGGACCACGTCAGTCGGAGGCAACTCGGGGACATGGGGCAGGAGGTCCGAGCAGATCTTCTGGAACATCTGAGTCTGGTGGAAATTCAGCTTCCCTTTCAGGGGAAGAGACAGAAGGTGGAAGTCAAAACCCAAAACGGACGTGGACACCCCCAAAGGGAGAAGGTCTTCTTGTTTGTCCAAGGTTGTCCCATCCCTGGTGAAGCTCAGACCCAACACCTCAAGATTAAGAGACCTGGAATTTTTCTTTCCATTTCATAAAATTTGGGCCAAACTAGGGCACTGGGTGGACCAATAGGGCCAGTGGTGGGGTTCAACCGGTGTAACAATCGGTTCGGTGGTCGTGCACACAGCTTTTGAAAAACGCCCATGTTCAGCTCTAAAACTGACTTTCGGCTGCAGCCCCGGTGAGTAAAACAGCTGAGGTGCAGCACTCTGCTGTGCCGCACGGATCAGCTGAGCAGCAAAACGCAAAAATATAGGACAGACCAGGGGAGGGGAGGGTGGTATGGCCAACTAACTGCTGTAACAACCGGTTCGCTCAGACCTGTCCAAACTGGCTGAATCTTCACCACCACCTCCCTTGGTATTTTTGGCGACCGCAACAGCGCCCGGGTACATTGCCATTCATTCAGAAGATAGGGCATAATCGGTCATTAATTAAAAAAGTAGCCGCCAGGATTAGTTGTCTAAGGCTCCCACCGAGCATAGGCCCTGTTAGGAATACCAAGATTACCTAACATAGTTTGGGTAAAATAATATATATAAACTATGCTAGTAAGTTTAAGTGTGTGTCCCTTTAAATCGCAAAGCATGTAATTTTGGGTGCGGTTGTGAAACCGCCATAAGAGGGAGCAAGAGAATGTGCTGGATTGCTGACGATTGCTGGATTGCTGGTTTGCTAACTGCGTGTTCCCTGCTGCTGAGTTTTTGAACGTCGAAGGAAGAAAGGAGGTTTGACTTATTCATATCTCTACTGCGAGGAGATATATTACTGGACCGATATTTGTAAGTTTACTGACCTCTTTTTCGACACCGGACTTTGCAACTGAATAATCCCTGGACGGATTGAACTAGTAAATGACATATGGACTGTTTGACTATGCTAAAACTCTTACTGGAATAAACTATTTAACTAGCACAGTGTATCTGTTTTACTGAGTGTAAGCTACAAAAACGTTTATCTCACATATTTTGCCTGCCTGACTGACTGCACATTCTGCTGGGGTGTATCCCTAACAGGCCCCAACCCTCTTGATGGGGGATGATGGGATTTGGAGACCAGCCCAGCTGGAAGGCACTGGGATGGGGCAGGCGGAGCTCATATCTCCTATCTAAGTCCTCCCATCTCTCAACGGCCAACAAAGGTCTAAACTCCACAACCCATCCGCTCTGCGGCTGCTTGCCAACCTCAGGTGACACCCGAAACCACATGTAGTCCTTGTTCAGTGACCATTTGTAGTTACAACAGCACGAAACAAAAATAACTTGGTGACTGTTTTTCATGCTTACAACAGTCCCATTTGGTAAAACTCGTATTTATGATGGGTCACAGCGCCCCGCCGAGGTGATCCTCTTTAGCGACCTTCCAACCAGCAAAGCCAATGGGGATGGAGCCAGATTCACTTAATGACTGTGTCCAAGGGATTCGCTTAACAAATGCAGCAAGGAAAGTTGTGTACTAGGGTAAAACTCACCCCAAGGTTTCACTTAGCGACCAACATTTAGGGCTCTATTGTGGACATCAACTGACGATGGACGGGATTCACTTAACGGTGGCAAAGAAAAGGGGTCCCATAGGGTGAAACTCACTTAATAACAGTCTCACTTAGCGACAGGAACGTCAGCCTCGATTGAGATTTTCATAAAGGGAGAATTAGCTTTTATCCAAATTATTCCTGGGCACTTTTTATTTTCAAAAGCCCAGGAAGAGAAGACTTACAATGGTTCGTTTAGCGACCATCCGAAGTCGCAAAACAGGACCCGGGGAAAAAACTCCCGAATTTCCTTGCTCGGCCGCGGAAATGCAGACGATCCCATTTAGCAGCTTTGAGTTGAGGGCAAAACTCTGGATTCGGCCAATTCTCCCGACGAATCCAAATTTTCCCCGGAAAAGATGTTTGTGTGTGGGGTGTGTGTGGAAATAAGAGATTGCTCACCGAAGGCGAACGCCAAATCCAGGAGGATATCCGGCTTGACAGCAAAATGCTTCTGGACAAAATGGTAGCTGATGGCTCGAAGGAGCGGCAAGGAACGGAGATTTTGTTGGGCTAAGACGACGGCAAGCCTCCGGATGTCCTCGGGAGAGAAGTGGGCAGCTAGCTCCAGGCTCTGCGGGGAGGAGATCCGTTTAGCGCCGGGAGCAAAGAGGACCACGGGTGGGGAGGGGGGGAAGAGGCAGAGAGATTGGGGGGGGGGGGGATGGAGGATTATGAAACGTCTGCAAAGAACCACCCAGCTCAGAGACCACCAAGGACCCCGCAGTCCTCCTCCTCCTTCTCCCTCTTCCTCCTCCTCTCCAGAAATCCCACATCTTCACAGCACCGATGGCCGTCACCTGGTCGGGCCACCAAAATGTTCATCAGAAAAGACCGCCCCACTGCTCCGGCTTACCTTATCCTCCAGCCGCTCCCGGAGTTGTGGCGAGAGGTATTCCTGTTTGGCCATGAGCAAGGCAATGGTCTGCGCATCTTCGATCTCGGCCCAGCGCATCTCCAGCTGGGCCAAAAGCTCAGTCAGCAGCTCGTGGGGTTTCTCCCTAGGGACGCAGGCAGCCAGGGAAGCGGCCAGGGAAGCCAGGCGCCGGTAGGAGAGTCCGCGTAGGCGCCAGCGCAGCTCCAGCTCGGCCGAGCACAACTCCTTCTGCTGGGGGCTGACCCCCAAAAAGTAAAGGCTCTTGAGGAGATTGATCAATGCTGGGTCATGGAGCCGGGAGGCCTGTGGGCCGGAGGGACGAAGAGCATAAATGTATTTATTTATTTATTAACTTTTCTCCGGGGCATCCTTGACTTACGACGGCTCGTAGAGCAACCGAAGTGGCAAGACGGGATCGGGGAAAAAACAGGACTGAGCCTACCTAAGGCGGGACTAGAACTCCCTGTCACCTCGTGATTGGGCCAAAGTCAGCCAACTGGCTTTCGTGCCTAAGGCGGGACTAAAACACATTGTCACCATATGATTGGCCCAACGTCACCCAGCCAGATTTCCTGCATAAGGCAGAACCCCCTGGTCTCCTTGTGATTGGCCCAAAGTCACCCAGTTGGCTTTCATGCCTAAGGCGGGA